TTTTTTAAATACCAGTTTTATTCTGTGAAGCATTTTTTGAAATTGTATATTCTCCATTTTGATTCAATCTTTCAGGAAAGATATTGAATCTATGCTCATAAAATGCTTAACTGTTGCTGGTGGAAGTAATAATCCGAAGGTGCCACGACTGGTGGGTGTGATAGCACATCCCATTCAGACTGCAAAAACTTTCGGTGGACCATCAAACTTGCATGAGGTTGCGCATTATCTCGATCCCCTTTTTTATTGATCAATGCGGGCTTCTTCTGTTTGAGTACATTACAAAATTTGTCCAGCTGATCACAATACACATCAGAATTAATTGTTGTCGGGAAGAAAAGCTCAACAACGATATCTTTGAAATCCCACCAAACAGACAAATTAAACTTTTTATTGACCATTGTTCTTGGAAGTGGTTTTGCTGGTTTATTCTTATCCCTGATCTTTTGCACTTTACATATTTGTGAATAACTCACTTTTCGTTGCCAGCAACAATGCGCTTTAAAAATAGATCACGCGTTTAATGTTTGATGAGCAAGTCACAGTCGTTAATGCGATGAAGCAAATTTCTTTTTGTAAGAATTATGAGAAACTCATATGTCCAGCTTACAAATAAATACTAGATCGGTCGCGATCTCGTATTATTCGACGATTTACATCGACCAACGACATTATCTTATCCACAACGAAATCGAGGGACCGAAAACATATTTTGGCATTTGCGTTCGGTCAACACACCATCTGCGTAAACATCACATGATCTTCGCTTTGTCTGAACTGCTTTTTACTCTTTCGATAACAAAATGGTAAAATATGTCGAAAACGGTGGTTTTGATCTTCCATCTTCGATACGGTGCTAAACAAAAACTATTCCAGAAGTTTGCGGAGACGAGGCTGTATAAGTTCGTGTAGCCCAACAACTCGCTCCGTTCTGAAAATTTCGAAATTTCGATTTACCCTGATGAAAGTATTAGACTGATAAGATAATATCTCGAGCGGAAAAATTGCAAGACGTGTTGAAGTTTGATAAGAAATACGAAAATACTTTTTCGACTACCCAATGTAAATGATCAGAATGACGAGAAAATTTGAAATTCGGGTGATAGTCCGTGTAAGCTGTAAATTGAGTAAAAGTTGATATATCTTGACCCAAAAAATCGGATCGCCATTAACCGAGAACCTATAAAGTGTCATAACTAAGCACTAAATTATGATGTACGAGTAAAAATGTTATTTGGCACAGGAGATCATAGCAGCAAGGGGCACCTGTGGACAAAAATTTTTGAAAAAGTGGGCTTGGCCCCGATCTCGACAACCAAATTCATCCGGAACAAATATTATATGAACTCCYACCGCCTTACTTACTTGATTAGTTTTAGGTGTTACAAGCAACCATTAGGTGAACAAAACAATTATACTCCAAAGCGACATGTTGCGGGAGTATAAAAGGCAAGAGGAGATAAGCGTTTTATATCAAGCGTTTGAAGTGCACATAACATACATAATATGTATATTATATAATGCGCAATGTACATACATATATATGTACGGACACATAATGAAATATATTTATGAATCTAAATTGTTATTGATTTATTGTTGCGACGTGTTAAACAATTCTGATAAGACAGTTACGCTTGCTTCAACAATTCAATTACGTTTAAATACGACTGAATAATATTTTTTTTTATCTTTTTTGGCATTTCAACTCTTAATTTCAACATGCCGACAATAAAACCAGTTGAACGATGCGACATGTATTGATCAATTTGTGCCCAATAAGACACCAATAACTGAGTCATTGGGTTTAACTCGGAATATGCGTGTTTCTCGGCATATCTATCAGGATCATATAATTTAACAATATTTATATATAATTTCGAAGTTTTACTCACATATTAATGATTATTTATCACCAGACCTTCCTTTGTTCTAAATATAAATCGCCTTCTACCTAATCGTATTTAAGTATGTGTAAATGTTAGTTCTAACATAACGCTTCAAGTCGTACATGCTTGTAGTTGTTTAATTAACACATCGAATTAGTTGAGTACACAAAAGGAAGAAAGTGAAAAATCGTAAAATCACTTGAACCGCAAATAAATAAAAAACAAATATTATTCGAAACGAATTTTTAAGTATACTGCTGGGGATCACTAATTTCTACATACTTATGTACATAGTATATAAAAGGTTTTCCAATAAGAGCGTTATTATTTCAATAAAAAACAGTCAAACTAGTTGTTAAGGAAATTTAAATGTTTTTAATTGAAGAGTAGTACAATCGATACAGTAAAGTTTTGAATATAACATCATTCGAATGGCCCCCATCACTTCTTTTGCAGCACGAATTCAATGAACCCAGTACTCGAGTACTGTATCCACTAAATAAAGTTGTATGTCATGAAAAGCACGTTCAATATTGACTTCTAAATCTTGAAGAGAGTCTGCTTTATTGCTAAAGACCAATGACTTCAAATAACCCCACAAAAGTATTATAATAGTGTTAAATCGCAACTCTTAAAATAAACGAATCTCCAAGCTTTCTCGCAATAATTCGATCGTTCAAGTGGTGTGTGGCACATAACCCCGTACCGACCTTCTTGTTGGAACCAAATGTTACCAGGATAAACTTCTTCCAATTACGCCCATAAAAAGTGGTTTATCAGCGATCTACTATATATCGTTCTTTATTGACAGTAAAAGTCTCACCAGCTTCATTTGAAAAGAAGTACGAACCGAAAATTCCACAAGACCAAGAACCACACCAAACTGTCAATTTTGGTCAACGTAATGGTTATTCAAGAATAATTTTTCGATTTTCTTCTCACCAGAATTGACAGTTTTGATTTCTGCACCACTCAGATGAAAATGAGCCTCATCCGAGAAAATGATTTTCCAAGTTGCTTAAAATAAAATCAACAAATTCACGACGTTTACGGTGGTCCAATAGTTTCAGCACAATTTCATACGGATGCAAGCAAAATCCTTTCTCAAACTCCGCCAGGCCAATTCTTGGGAACGTCTTCAAGTCCAAAAATTACGGTCTTTAGCAACACTTACCTGAATGACAGTGATATTTTCATTACTTCGAGCGGTACTTTGTCCTATTGGCACTTAAACATTATGGAAAGAAAATGCACGCAACAATTTGAGGAATGACGAGCACAGGTAGATAAATTACGACCATAAAAGGCAAAAGCCCACCAAAAGTTACGTTCTTAGAACGATTATTTTGAAAAAAAAAAAGAAAAAAAAATAAAATTGAATAATTGGCAATACGATGAATTTGTAAACATTACTGAATGCAATGAAAAAAAATGCAGATCATGATATATTAGAAATGGCCAAAAAGAAATTTAGAAATCATATCATTCCTATTGGAAAGACCCGTACTATATATACTACCATAATAGTCTACCTTATTTACAATATCTTTAGTGTATCCGAATGAATGCTATCAATGAATGTGTTTTTATCGCAGTAAACAAATATAAATGCCATTTTTAGACGTGTTGTTTCAATGAGGCAATACTTCTCTCAGAGTTATTCTTTTTGACAGCTGTTACTTGAACGATGATAATTCAAAAGCCTTAACTGAGATACCATTTTATTCTTAAAAAGTCGCTGTTTGGTGTGATCTATAAGCAGAGGTAATCCCATATTTAATCAAAAATAAAGGTAATGAGGAACACTATAGAACCTAAATAGGAGAATGTTGATTTGGACGATCTTCGGTTCCTAAGATCGTACGATTTAAAACAGTGGGTAATTTTTTGTGCGGCTATCGAAAGCCGCTTGACGTCTTGGAAGGAACGCCGATAATCGTTAAAAATTCGACCTTTCGGCTAGAATTTATTTATTGAAATCATATTTAAAACATATAAGGCAAACCCTTATCTTTATAATTGAGCTGAGTTTTGCGTTTTATTTTTTCTTTTTAAACACAACACATTTACCATAGTAAACATAGATAATATACCGTTGGGGGAAATGAAATATATGTGTAGAGTTTTAGGTTCGAAGTATAACAGTCGATAACGGTTTTTTGATTAGGCCTCTTATGGCATCTATAAAATATTACATAGTATTATAACATTGAAATATGAGGAAATATGAAATAAGATAAAATTCAAACTTCGAAAGCGGACTTTCGCTTCGAAAAATGAAAAAATATCACTTTCCTAGTTACGAATCAATCTCTCCAGAAAACTGTTTGGTCTAATACCCTGTCGAATATAGTAATGTTATCCAAGAAAAAAGACAGTATAAATTATAAGTGGACATGAGAGCAACAGGCGTTCAGCTAAATATTCTAAGTTTAATCACCCGACGTAATTTATCCAGTTAATACTTAGTGAAATATTTATTTAATATTTAAAGTTGCTTATAAAATGTCAGCTGTCAAATTTACATTATCTACATTTTCCAATGTTTTCCAACCTATACATATAGACTTGAGGCTATATTAAATGCAAATAGTTGAGAAAAAATTTTGTTTACTCGTTAATACTTTTTTAATCACTACAACTGTGACTCTGACTCTAGACAGTTGTTCAAATAGTGTACTCAACTCCGGTACAGCAACATTATTTCGAGTAGATTACATTCAGTGCATGATAACCACACGGTGAGCTATGGATTCAAATCCCATAACGAATGTACAAACGCACAAATAAATAACCTTTAAAATAACGCTTAGAAAACGTTTGACTCTGCCAAATCTGGGAGATTCTCTGCTGTAAAACTTGAATTATTAGGGTTCGAAAGACGAGGCCCAACCCATGTGAGAGAAGAAGCGCGAAGAAGCAAACATCTTGTAAATCATGGTTAAGTGCATTCTTAGTGCAATTGGCACCATCTCGGTATATGGGAGCACTATAACATACTATCTAATCAGAATGTTTACGAACAAAAACGCAATGAATCGATAACGAAGTGTTCAGATAACTGTGAAAACGTTTTTACTAAATACAAAAGTTATTGTTTGTTGTCGCTATACTAAGTTTACTATTAGAAATGTAGGCTAATTGTGGGTCTCAACTGTAATACTTATCACCCAGAATTAGCTATTGTTGTTGAAAGCACAGCCGCCACCTTCGAAATCGATGTATTGAGGTGCTGATAGGCAGTATAAGTGACCGCATAGGCGTGGAAGTAGTGACGGAAGGCATCGGTCATAATCGGCTTCACCATTTCTCAGCGTATTAGTCACAGTAACTGGGGTTCAAAGCAAAACAAATTAGATTTGCATATTATTGTTGGAAATCAATAATAATTAAATACTATGTCCATGGATGTGGATGCGGAGAAAGCCAAGCAGGCACCAGCATTCGATGATGTCGATTTTAGCAGCGGCTTCGAGACGCAATACCTTCAGGAATATCGCCCTTCGAAGGTGGTGCGCCCGGCACCGCCCGATCCAAGTTTGGCTTGGTATCGAGATACTGCAACGGTGATGGTGGTCTGCTTTCTCTTCGTGGTACTCATGGCTGGCTCAGTGGCGCTGATTCATTCGATTTTCTCCGCTGATCCCACAACCATAGTCCTACTATTGTTGGGATATTTTGTCTTGGCGCTCATTTTCATTTGGTTCGAAGTGTTCAGCAAGAATTTGCGTTGAGTATAAAATTATTGAAATTGTTATTGATTATAGAATTGTTACGTGAAAAAACTATGCAGTGCTAAATTGTGTAAATACCAAATATAAGTGTATATATATGTATGTGTATAATTTAATCGTTTAATATGGCCTTATAATACTATATGGATATGATGAAAAATTAAAGTATTCTTTACACTGGAAAAAATTTATGGAATGTGATTTTAAATTAGACAATTTAATACGCTTCAGCTTTGGCGGAATTTGAAGAAACCCATAACTAGGAGTAATACTATGGTCAAATTGTAGATTACACAAAGCACGATGCCAGCGGTTGTCCAGTTGCGATACCAAGGCGGCGGTGGGTGGCGGAAAATCGATGGTGCATTTGCTATATCAGCGAGTGTTTTATTTGCTCTCCCACCTGAAGGCGGAAGTTCAATGTCGAGCCTTGTGTCTTGACTTTGCGTTTTTATGGCGATTGTGTTATTGTTGTCAAGGAGATTTGTGGCTGCGGAGATCTCGCTGGGTAATATTGTGCCTGAATCGTCAATGTGTACATTTTCACAATTACCCAGGAGAACTTCGGTAGATTTGCTGAAATGGAATATTTTTAATATGAGTTAAATATATAAAAAATTAATTGGTATTAGAAACTAAATGCGACTTCCTTTCCTTTCTTTAATTTGTATGACCATAAAAAAAAAAAACACGCAGTCGAAAATTTTCTAATATTATATTAAATTTTTGAAGTGTCACCATTCGCTCAAAATTCTATGTTTGTCTTGTTTGACTTACTTGTTATGCAGCTGAATTAGTATGCCGTTATTTCTAAAACCGTTAGATTTTGCACAGTGTTGTAAATAGAGAAGAAAGCAGAAATCATAGTTTCATATAAAAATAAATTTCTAAACGTGAAATAGCTTGTGAAATGGGCATAAGTGGTTGGAGTGTGCGCAATATTAATAAAAACAAGTAAGGAAGGGCTAAGTTCGGGTGTCACCGAACATTTTATACTCTCGCATGACAAGTTTCATCAAGATATCTCAATTTTTACTCAAGTTACAGCTTGCACGGACAGATAGACAGGCATCCAGATTTCAACTCTACTCGTCGATATTTCCGGTGAAAAATTAGGTTAGGTTAGGTAAGGCACTGAGTTCTTCGTGTTCAATATCAGGGACTTTGAAAAGTTATAGTCCGATCACGACAATTTTTCCACAAGGGATACCTCAGCTCAAATACCGTATTTATGTAAAGTTTTATTCTGCTATCATCATTGGTTTCTAATGTATATATTATACAGAGAAGGCATAAGATGGAATACAAAATAGCGTTATATTTCACCCATATTTCGTACATGTTATCAGGGTGTTAAGAAAATATCATATTCCGAATTTCATTCAAATTGGTAGAGTACTTCCTGAGATATGGTTTTTGGTCCATAAGTGGGCGACGCCACGCCCATTTTCAATTTTTAAAGAAAGCCTGGGTGCAGCTTCTTTCCGATATTTCTTCCGTAAAATCTAGTGTTTCTGACGTTTTTTGTTAGTCGGTTAACATACTTTTAGTGATTTTCAACAWAACCTTTGTATGGGAGGTGGGCGTGGTTATTATCCGATTTCTTCCATTTTTGAACTGTATATGGAAATGCCTAAAAGAAACAACTCTATACAGTTTGGTTGACATAGCTATAGTAGTTTCTGAGATATGTACAAAAAAGTTAGTAGGGGGTGGCGCCTCGCCCACTTTTCCAAAAAAATTACGTAATGCGATCCTTTGTGCCAAATTTCACTTCAATGTCTTTATTTATAGCTTAGTTATGACACTTTAAAGGTTTTCGGTTTTCGCCATTTTGTGCCACTGCCACGTCCCGATTTTGCCTATCTTCGAACTTAACCTTCTTATATAATATATATCTTATATAATATATATATATATTTATATATAAATATCACTTTGGATAGATTCCTCTGCAGAACATTGTTGAATTTTCCAAAAATGTGAACGCAATGGACACTTTCGGTAAGTTGTTGAGGTCTTGAATATCTTTAAAGTTTTTTACAATTGTTCTTATTTTTTATTTATCGATGATTTAAATATACGAAATTTGCTATTGCCGCTCTCCCATTTTTTTGTTTTATGGTTAGTGTATATTGTATGTAAGGTGATTAAGTGAGGATTAACGTATTTTATTTCGCGGAATAACTTTTATAATAATTTATAGCTGAATTATTTCTGATTTTAACGGAAAATGTTTCACAAAATTTCTGATTATCTTTAAAGATTTGGTCTCACTTACTCCATCAATATATGTTCATCTCATTAACTTATGCGGTGTCTTCATTTCGTTGTTTGGACCATATCATATGTTATTATCACTTGTGATAATTCGATTTTATTTCTTCGAAGGGATGTTGCCTTAGCCATAGATAAATCACAAATTTCTTTGTTAATTTTACTGATTTTTTTTTTTGATAAAGTAATTAACTCTTATTTTTATATTTTTGATTGCTTTTTCAAAACTAGATAGCACAAACTGCAGCAACAGGAATTCAGTTATTTGGAGTATATTAATATATTAATCGACTATTTAATTAAATTTCTTAATCTTGCACCGAATGTGTGGTGTAATTCCTAAAAAATTCTTATTTGGCGCGTTTGCTGCAATAAATTTATTTCAAGTTTATTTACCTGCTTTTCTTCTTCATTTTTGAGAATTATGCCAACTGGGACTCCGAACTTCAGCGCGTCACTTAAGAAACTGTTGTGGCAGCAGTGAAATGTAAACTTAAGTCCTATGTGGCCAGTACCTGAAACGGAAAGTAAAGTCAGTACAAAATGTGTATATGTGAGTATGAAGTACACCCAGCGTAAATGGTATGAGAAGTCTTGGAAAAGATTATTCTCTATAAGGTACAATTGGGAACGCATTAGTGTCAAACTCGTACCTTTAAGATACAATTAGGTGTTCCTCGGTTCAAGAAGAAAATATTGATGATTTGATTAAGATTGATTAGCTATAAAGTGTTGGAATAGTTGACATCCATTTGCAGTCTTTCGAGTATAAAGTATGACTGTTATTAGTCTCTTCATGGGACATGCTCGAATGAAATGTTCATTATCCATAAAAAGATTCAAAGAATGCTTAGACAAATGTTCCTTTGCAACTAATCGCGAACTCATTCTGAGCATACCTCATTTTCTCATGGCACATACGGTTATAAAGACTTACATATAAACTTTTATATGAACTGTGCGAATGGACACTTATAAACAGAAAAAATAAATATGCTGATCAAAACAAAGCTCGAATAATAAATAAGCAAATCTTAAAATTGTTTACGCAGCGTATTTTGATAGCAAGAATGTTCGCTATACTACTGGTCATGTGGTCTTGTGTACTTTCAGTTGCAACTGGCTGCAGTGCGGCCGCCGATAAGTGTCCCTGTGTAGAAGCACTTGACATTCAGAGAATTATTGAGCTGAACGAAGCTGGAGATGTGAAATGTGCGATGATGCTTTGGAAATAATTAAATTTGGAATGTAGTCATGAGGAACATATATTTACATACAGTATCGGACAAAAAATTTGAATAGTCGCTGTTAAAAACAAAAGTCCATTAAACAGTTCTACAGTGGTCCGAATATGCCCATCTACGAACTCGATTTTTGTTTTTGTACTAAGAAACCTACATAAGTTTCATCAAGATATCTCAATTTTTACTCAAGTCACAGCTTGCAATCGGATTTCAACTTTTCTCGTCACCCTGATCATTTATATATATATAAYCCTATATCTATCCCACTTTCTTATATTTTTATATGTACAACCATTAGGTGAGCAAGATTATGATACTCTGTAGCAACTGGTTGCAAGAATATACTAAATCAAAGCCATTTTATTGTTTAAAATTAAATCTTAATGGTTAGTGCATCACTTTGCTAGAGAACAGAAAATACTTCAAATAATTAATAAATATGATTAAAACGCAAGGTAAAATTGTTGTTGTTATTGTTACATATTTTTTGATATTTTGTTGAATAACCATTGTTTATTAACATTGCACGACACCTTTTTGTGTAGGGTCCACCAGGGAGGCACAATTAATCTGGGGTATGGACCAGGAGCTTCTTGGATATTTTTCAACTTTTTTGTCAAAAAAGTCTTGCGGTATTTTCGCTAGTTGGCGCTGAGAGCGCGTAGTTCTAGTTTTATTCGTCGCATCGGGTCATGCTATATGGAAAGCTCATTTCACGCGCTAACACGTGTTTGATTGATCGTCGTTTCTTTTAAGCCGTTCGTGAGTTATAGTGTCGCAAACATGGAGCAAACTAAAGAAAAAATACTAAAACAAACTAAAGAAAAAATACAGCATAACAGATAAAAGCTGAAATGCATCTCAAGCCGCCAATAAAATTTGTGCAGTTTATGGACCCGATACAGTTTCCAGTTCAACCGCACAAAGATGCTTTCAACGTTTTCGTTCTGGTGTAGAGGTGGTCGTGTAGAGGATGCGCCACGCTCCGGAAGGCCTGTCGTCGAAAATTGCGATAAAATCGCTGAATTGGTCGAAAGAGACCGGCATAGTAGCAGCCGTAGCATCGGTCAATTGAAAATTCAATAAAAATACCGCAAGACTTTTGATTACTAGTTTTCGACCTAATGTTTTAAGTATTTTGTTTGAAAATTCTCCATTCTATATTCTATAGAAGTCAGGTCCGGATATTTAGAAAGCCGGAATAAAATAACTATTTTAAAGTGAAGAAACCAATTTCGTGCTAGGGAGTTCTGATAAAACTTTCAAAGTAGAGACATCCTCCATTTTGTAAGAGGGAGCATAACTTCTTTGAGTAATCGGATGTAACAATGTGTCCATATTTTCTTTTATCCAATGCAGAGAACTCGCATAACACCAGAGGTCCTCATAGCATGACGCTTTCACTATACTTAAAAGGTTTTGCAGTGTATTTGGCTGAAATACTGCATTTTTTGGACGTCTTACCCAAAGTTACTTCCAAGTAAATTTACTTTGCTTTTCCCCTACTCATTTTTTTCCTAAAGTGTGAAATTTTTTGCAACGGGCTTTTGTTCGTCTCTATTAATGCTTACCGAGACAAATACAAATAAGTACGGCTTGTGACTTTATACAAAATAGTCAGTTTTTCCATATGTTCATATTTTATTGTCTTTCTTTACACGCTGCACATTGGCAGTATTCGGGGAATTGCCAAAAACCGATTAACTGCGGAGATGTCAACCATATTTTGTAAGCGAATGAAGTGCCGCCCGATCCTCTTACAAAAAAGTATAACAACTCAATTGGATACTACTTGATTAAGTGTTCTTTTTTTTGTTTTATGTGCGACGCTGTGTAACAAGACTGCATATATAATATGTTTACAGTTTTTCATATGGCATACAAATTTATAGTTATGGAAAAATATTTACAGGGTGAGAAATAGCACTCTGATTCTTCCGGTATTATATTACGGCTGTTAAGGCTGTTTTTTGCTAGCCTCGAATACCCCATACATCTCTTAGCACAACAGTCGCAAATCTTTCCTTACATTAGATTTGTGGGGTAGTAGAATTGTAACATTTTGTTGCTTTCTCAAAAACGATGTGAAAATAAGTGATATTTCTTTTGGCCTACAGAATAGTTCAAGCTCCGAAAGTTCACAGTCATGTTGTTGCTGTCTCAGTCATAGATGGAAATATATTATAGTTAATATTTTTTGTTAAGCTTGTTCTATAAAAAACGTATTTGAAGTTTGCGAATAAGTTTTTTACACCGAGAACGAAACGTTGAAGTCCCAATAAAATGTGTATATAGACGATCAATTTGGCCGTCTGTCTGTTCATCTGTATATGCGAACTGGTGACTCAGTTTTTGATTGAAATCTTGTATACATCGTTTTTGTGCCAAGCAGTTGCTCATTTGTCGGAACGCTGATCCTTAAACTCTCTACAATGGATGCGACATTATTGCACACCCGCAGCTGAAATATATGAAAATAATATTGGATTCCAAATTAAAATGTAAGGAATACCTGGCCTATACTTCGGGTAAAGCAAACAAACTATATAATGCTCTATTAAGAATATAGCGGCTACGTTCCAATGGCCTCGTTTTCCAAAAGTAAGGGACAAGAAAAACTTCACTTCAAAGTAGTATTTTGGTGGAAAATTTGGCAGTACTTATAGTATGTGTCAGTCTTTGGTAAAAGGAAGCTGTCAGCGAATCGTCAGCTCTAATTAAGACAAACTATGTTAGTGTATATGTATATATATCAGTACATTAGGCGTCAGTCAGACTGTGTGGTAGATAAGACCTAAAATCTTTCTCTCTTCCATGAAGTAATATTTAATCCGTGGGTGAGATATGAGTTAGGGTTAGGTTAGGTTTAGAGGATTAAAGTTCCGCACGCCGGCTTTCGATGCTTCCTCGTCGTCATGTAGTCAGTTCCGCTTTAAAAGAAAGATCCACCAGCCTTCGTATAACCCAACAGGCTCCACTAGAACCCTGAGTTTGTCTAGTTTTAAATATACTATATTTAAGATTTTATTACTTATTGTTAGGCTTTGAACAAATAAATGCAATAAAAAACCGGTCTACTTGATTGAACTTTTGCGTGTCTATTTTTTCATATATTATATAAAGTTAAACGCTAATTTATACTCTAAATCTTGACGACATTGAAATTTTACATCATTAAAATCGTTCAATAGTTCATAAATAACCTGTTCAATATGTTTATTAATTTCTATTAATTCTCTAATTCAATAAATCTTTCGGATTTGTAAAGTAAATACATAAATAGTTAGGGAGAGGCCTAAACCAAGCAGGATCGTTACAAGTTGGTTAGTCCAAGTATAGAGCAAAGATGTGATTGATGATTTGGGAATCCAGTTCTAGATACATTGCACAGAAAGCGGAAGAGCGGAAACCACCAGAGTGAAGATTCACAGCAGATTAATCATGTTCTGGCAAGACTTTACAATTATTTTCATTGTCAACATTTCTTTTTCACTGAGGAACGAATAAAGCAGCACAATCAATTTTACTTTTTATCTTTGAATTTGGAACAATTACTTTTGAAAGTTTTTTATACTTAAAACGCAGTCAAAAACAAAGAAGCTTTCACTAAATTAAAGAAAAAGTCGCTGCTTCGCTTAGCGTATAGTTCATTGACAAAGCTATTTGATCCCGAAATAACCACAATAATTTATTATCAAACTAGCGCCTTGAGCTTTACCTTTAAGTTTTCGTTTTTTAGCTTTGGTTCCAACTCAGATTCAGCGGAAACGAATAATGTCACGAAAAATACAACTCGAATAAGTAAGGGCGATAGTTTTCATATTTTCATTACATTGACAATTATTATTGACACACCTATGTTTTAAGCTATAGTATATAAGATTGTACACTACCGTTTCGTGAAGGTGCGCGTTAGAAACTGAGACTGAGATGAGCAACTTATCAAAGCTGAGCAGAGGAATATGAATAAAGTAAAAAAAAAAAAAAAACATCCAAAAGTGTGAGCCAAAACCGCAAAAGCCTCATTGTTTATAAACCTTTTAAGCCCGTCTTGTTTTACAATTCACTTTTCACAAAAGAAGTGATAATTGAAGGCAGCGATTGCCACAAACATGTTAAAAATTGGGCTTGAACTTCTACATATATACATATATTATTATATATGTACATACATATATTTTTATATATTATATATGTGCTTACATATGTCGATATTTGTATATATAATACTACTACGTAGTTTCAAGCTGTAGGTATGTATGTACTACATACATACATACATATATATACAATACTTGGTAAACCTCATAGGAGAACATGAAATGAAGTGTGAATATGTGAAAAGCCAACGTCAGTAGGTGAATAAACATCGAATTACGTGCCCACAAATGCGTAAATATTTAATAAAATACATATCTACATACTCATAAATGCTATGAAATGAAAGAATTTCATGTCTCATGTTTGTATGTTCTAAAATTACTATCCAGTTTGTATTATTTTAAGTGATTCATTGCATTTGCGAACTATGTTGTTCAGTATTTGTTATTGTAGGTTAAATACAGGGTGCATTTAAAGTTAACCAATTGCGAAATAGGTTCAGAACTGAGAATGGATCATGTATAACTTAAACTTTAGTTTAAATTCAAATATCATATTCTTCGCAGTTACTTAAGATTATCTTGAGCCGAAGGTCCTGGCAGCCAGTGCTCCTTTTTTTCGTGTAAATAAAATAATTGTATTATTTTTTTTTTGAGTGGTTCTGTCTACAACGGGCGATATTAGTTAATCGCTTTTGAGGAATAAAAACAATGTAGTCGGCATTCCTCTCAGTTTCCTTAACTGCATTTAAGACCACTTACAGAAGAAATGTCGGGAGTGTCGTTCTGAATCTGCGAGGAAATGCTGCCGCGATACGGTGAAATAAATTTTGGCAGTAAATCGTATGAAAATACGATGAACCCGAACATCTAACCGAAAATCAGGGACTTTTAATAAGAATCTTCTTCTTCTTTATTTCCGTAGAGTGGAGGTCTTGCTCTTCCTCTGCTTTCCCCGAAGGTTACGGCGTCGAATACTTTCAGAGCTGGAATGTTTTCATCCAGCGAAACCTATCTTTCGAAAACTTGTAACGCCGACTCATCAGAAGTTGTCATCGCCCGTGCCTCTGCACCATATAGCTGAACGAGAATAATGAGTGACTTTTAGATGTTGACCTTTGTTCGTCGAGAGAAGACTTTACTTCTCAGTTGCCTACTCCGTTCGCAGTAGCACCTGTTGGTAATCGTTATTCTGCGTTGAATCTACGACTTCGAAGTTATGACCGTCAATAGTGACGTGGGAGCCAAGTCGCGAGTGCGACGACTTTTAGTTTGAAGACAGGTGATATTTCGGTCAGAACTAATAGCGCGGCCAATGATGTCAATATTATCGGCATGCCCTCTTAGAGACGTGTATGCTCTAACTATTCAGCTTTGCAGATCGAACTATTTTCTCTAGGAGAAGATTGAAGAAGACGTCGCACGATAGGGAATAGCCTGGTCTGAAACCTGGTTTGATATCGAACTGCTCGGATAGTATTTTTATTTTTGAGTGGTAAAAAACTGAAAGGTCCCATTTCTAACTATTGACTTACCCATTCTGCGTGGTGTTAAAAACAAACTTGTGACCCTCCATTTATTTATAGCCTCAGTTCGCAGCTTATGTGTACATATGCTATTATTTTTCGAATTAACATCAATATCCATGGGTATAAATAAAAATAAATACGCATTCCTTGCTCACTGCATTTGCATGAATAGATTAATAACATACAGCGAACATAATTACTTTTAATGTGGCATTAGCGGAAAATTAATTGAAAACTATACTCTAACTAAATTAGGATTTGGGAATTTATGTGCTTTCCTAAAATGAGATAATTTATTGGCAATGAAGCGGCTCAGTTAGCAATGACTTGATTTGCGCAATATGGCGGACAATTAACCAGGTCAAATTCCAAAATAAAACGAAAGTTCAATTATTTAGGTTTATATTGAGGAGAATTTACCATATTAAAGATATTAAATATTATATATAAAAAAAGGGAAGAAAAACAATAAAAAGTCAAGATTTAAACGACTTTGCAAATTTGACTTGATATCGTAAAAAGTTGGGATTAATTTACGCCTTATAATACAGACAGTGTTTGTCCAGTCCACAAAGCTTACTTTCCCATGAAGACACTCCTCAAGTAGTTCGGAAATGTACTTACTCTCTTCCGGCAGTTAAATACGAAAAGTGAATTCCAACCATCCAAATACGTCTCACCATATTTGCAAAATTGCTTGTTGCTTGCTAGTGCTGCGATAAAAAAAAATTTTCTTTGAAAGTTCCGTCCAATGATTTCAAAGTTGTCATAGAGACTTGAATACCAATACAATTTTAGTCAATTTAAAGCAGAACACTATGTATAGTGGAATTATATCTTTTCACAGTTTTGAAAACTATGGTACATTATTGTTTTTCTAGCAAAAATTTGTCTTATTAAAATTGTGTCTTCCAGAAAACAACTCTGAAATATCCGGAATGTATGTGCATTGTGGCAAAAAATTGTGAGTAACCAAAGCTGGACTATTGTTTGTGGGGTTATGTAAAGTCGTTTGTTTACGCAGAAAAGTGCTAGACGATTCACGCTTTGTGAAATAATATTCTGCTGATACCATCATGAAAATGTGGTTGAAACTTATGCCTGTCTGTCTCTCCGTCTGCGGAAACTGTAACTTGAGTAAAAGTGATTAGTTTGGTACAACAAATCGTATTAGGCATCTTTGGTTTGAAAAATCCTTTAATATACTTACCTACGAACAGATTCTTTTGTTTTCTCTTCCCATAGTGTGAAAATGAACGAAATCGGGTTATGACCCTGTTCAATATAATGGCTTTGTTAAAACCTAATAAAAATAAGATACATTGATAAATCATTGTCTCAGATACGTTAGATGATGGTATGAGAGGAATTTACAGGAGCTGGTTGCATCGAATCTATTTTCGAACTTATTCAACCAATTTCAACCAAATTTCGTACTTAACATTATTCTGGGGTTCCCATTTTATTACAATATGAAAAAGGCAAAATCGAACCGCAACCACGCCTACTTTTCATGTGACACAATTTTAAATTCCAAGTGATTCTTTCAGTTTCCAATGTGCAAATAAAGCACCAATGAATGTATCGGTATACAATTTTGTAGAAATAGTGACCATTCGAAATCGAATTATGACGGTTCAAACTTCCTGATACCGAAAATGTGTATCCCAGTGATTATGTGTGATCTTTTGTCGAAATTGTTTATCAAGGTGTAAACGATAAAGGGTAATCCATTCCGAGGTTCTCTACTTAAAGTGGGATTGTCAGCATAGACTTAAGATTTCACATATCTCTACAGGAAAAAGGTTAACGGTGTGATATCACACTGTCTATAAAACCAATCAACCGTCCCAAAACGTGCTCACCGATGTGTTCTAACAGTGAATCTAAAATAAACAGTAAATCATAAAATAATCGGTTATCATGGTGCGATAACGGTCGCCATTGACGGTTGCATTCTCTCCACCGGCAAATAAACCACACCAAACCGTTATGTTTTCTGGATAAAATGACAGCTCTTTTCAGATTGCTCTTTGTCCTAAATGTGGTAATTTTGCTTGTTTACATACCCATAAGCTAGAAATAGGTCTTATCACTGAACGAAATTTGGCTTGAAAACGTCGGTTCCTCAGAAGCTGTAATTTGTACGATTTCATCATAAAACCTCGACGTAAAATGCACCAAGTCGTTCCATACGTCAGCCCAAGCTGCTGCGAACGGTCCCAAATCGGCTTTCCACGCTCTTCTGGTACACTATCAGCTACAGCTTCTTCACCGCTGCTGCACATGGTTTATTCGGCGGAATATTATCCAATAACGAGCACTGGGTGTCAAGATGGGCGATGGTGCTGTGAATAGTACCCTCAATAAGCCGATTTGTTGGCCATAAATTGGGCGAAGTGCGCGAAACACACTCTTAAGAAAACGCGAATTTCGTAAGTTGAACGTTGTTCAGGCGTAAGCCTTTCCATAAATACTGAACAAAAATAACATGACTGCTTGACACTACTCACTCGTGATCTGTCAAGGAAGGAAATTGAAAAAAAGCACATCCATATGGAACACCCGTTACATATGTGATATTATAAAGCTTTCATAGACATATTGAATATGAATGTTTCGGTCTATATCTTATCCCTTATCCTTAAAATAATGAAAATAATGATTTACGTTTCACTAGTCGATTTAACGCTCTTATACTCATAAATTTATTAAATTTAGCCTCTTAATTATCTCAATATCCAGGTGAGTTTATGACTTTTAATAAATCTAATTTCGTCGAAAAATGAATGTTTCATTCCATATTTCCTTCATATAAAGTTTTGCCTGAAAATGCAATATTACTTTGGCGTTGGCGATAGTACAGTGAGGTTATATCCGAACTAAGCCTTCCTTAGTTGTCTTTTAGTTGTAATCGTATGTAATTTGCATATGTACTTATGTGTGTTTAAATTGCTAAATTGCACTCAAAACGGCTATTGAACAAATCGCCCAAAAAAGTTGATTTGCAACAATGCAAATTATCATTAATTAAAATCCGACGCGTTTGATGGCGTTAAGGACTAATTGAATCAAGCTGCCGCCAAATTGCTGCATTGATGACGGCACTTCAAAGAAAAAACTGAAATGTTGAAAACGAAAACCGCAATTAAATGCGAAATTTGTTAATAAATGTCGAGCTTAGCATTTGCTTGCCATTAGGCGAGCACTTCGGCAATAAATAGTTTGTACACAGTGTCACCACACCGCAGTTCACCTGCGAGAC